GGGGAGTAGCTTATTTTCAGGTAAAGTTTCGAAAAAGTTGATTTTCATTATTTCTTTAAAATCTGAAAGTAGTTTCTATATATAAAAGTCAAAATTCTATTAAGTAAATCGATGAAAGTCACTTAATAGGAGTTGTTCAGGACGTAAAAATACACATATCTTGAAAGTTTGAAGCAATTGGTGAACTTTTTATTAAGATGTTTTTGCATTTTACATTTGAACGTAAAATATAAAAACATCTTAGTAAAAAGTTCTTCGATTTGCTTCAAACTTTCAATATATGTGTATTTTTACGTCCTTAACAACTCCTATTAAGTGACTTTCATCGATTTACTTAATAGAATTTTGACTTTTATATATAGAAACTACTTCATTTTGAAAAATTATTGGAGTAGCTTATTTTCGGAATAAAGATTTTTCTTATATTTCTTCTCCAAGAAAAGAGGGGGTAGCTTATTTTTGGAGATAGCTTATTTTCGGAAACCTATGGTAAAGCCTATCAGGCAAATATCATAACTTTTTTAGTTCTGATATAACACTGATTAATAGCTTAAATTGTGTCATTTTTAGTTTCATATTAGAGCTAATAGTGCTATTGGTTAAATATCAAAAACCTGATAGCTTTTATGATTTTACTGATAGTGTTACAAAATAAATTGTAACACAATGTAACATTAGCATAGCATAGTGTAGATTATAGTTTATTATTTATATATATAGTATTAGTTATTATTATAGTTATATTTATTAGTATAGTATTAGTTATTATCTTTATTATTGTATTAGTTATAGAAATATTATTAGCTAGTTAACTGAGGCACAGTAATGCCGTATAAGTATCTGTCAGTACCTTCATACAAGTACCTGTCAGTACCTTCACACAAGTACCTGCTAGTACTTTCATATGAGTACCTCTCAGTATCTCCACATGAGTACCTCTCAGTACCTTCATATGAGTATTTCTTAGTACCTCTACACGAGTACCTCTCAGTACCTCTACATGAGTATCTCTCAGTACCTCTATATAAGTACCTTTCAGTATCTTTGTACGAGTATCTCTTAGTACCTCTATACAGTTTAGCAGTTATACTGTTATATCTCTTATATGTGAAAAAGTTATAAAAAAGGAGCCTTTGCCCCTTCTACTCAAGTTAGAGTTCGATAGAGTTAATTAGAGTTAGTTAGCCTTCTCTACTCCTCTCATAGTATCTAGCCTTATTTTCTTACTATTCTTGTCCTTGTATAAAGTGATATACTCCCTCTAGGGTAAATTTAGTAGGTAAGGATATCATCCTTGACTTATAATAAATAAAGTATTAACTTATATACTGTCTCTATATTGAACCATTTGCCTCCTGCTAGTGAAAGTAGTGCATATTCTACTTCCACCCCGTGTACACCCCAATAGCAGGGTCCCTGCACCGGGTGACCTTGTTACCTTGCTACGTGTTAACCAAGAAGGCTGTAGCATTGTAACAATAGCTCTATTAGTTTCGATATGAACCTAGAAATGATATGATTTGAGCCATTAATCAGCATCATATTAGGATTAAAAAAGCTATAATACTTGTCTGATATGCTTTATTCTGACCAATGTAGCCTTTAAAAAATTCCTGTTATTTTTTTTTTAGTTGTAAATAAGTGCAAGTTTCAAAAAAAAAAAAAAAAAGCTCAACTTAGTGGTTCTTATATGGGACTATAAAGTTATATTTTTGTTTTTTGCTAATTTACAAGTACCTTATTAAGGAAATACGATTTTAAATATATTTAGATAACTTGCACCATATTGGCTTTGCTAAATTTTAGAATTTGGGCATAAACAAATAGTTTGGACAAGTATTGTTTTATTCATAATTTTTTATTATTAGGATCGCTTATGTATTACAGTCATGTTAGCTGCAAATGCAACTGGAACTAAAAAGTTAAACCCAATTGTAATTGGATCTTTTATTAAACCTTATACCCTGGTTCACTTGAATTACGATGCATTACCCATAATATATCATGCAAATTTAATGGGTTTGATGTGAACTGATATTTTCTGTGAGTAGATCACAAAACTTGACGAAAAGTTTCGCTTAGCTAACTGGCAAATTTTGTTGTTGATGGTACAAGAAGTCATTATAATCTTTTTTTTTTTTTTTTTTTTTTTTTTTTTTTAAATATTTAAGGTGAGACCTTGCTCTTATCTTTATTAAACTTAATGAAAACTTTTATATAATTAAAAAGGTTTTAAATTTTAAGCCTAGTGCTAAAAATAAAAACTCGGACATTTAGAAAACCTAATAAGTAATTTAAATATTTATCTGTAGCCTAAACCTACCAGAGTGGCCAAAGCTCACCTAAAGTTAGAATAAATTAAAAATATAAGAAGAGTGTATATGATATTGGATCCAGTTAGTGTACCAAGATGATACTTTTAAAAAAGAGGTTTGAAAAGTAGTATCAGATGTATTAGAAATAGAAAGTGTATTTCTAGAAAGTGCTAGTGTAGGATATAACTGAGATTGTATTAGCTGGGGTTGAGGTCTTGAACTACAATAAGAGATCCAGATATTTGAGTACAATTGTTTGTTAATATAAAAAAGAAATTGTATAGTGATTGAGTTGGCTGCTTAATTGGATGTAGTGAATTTATGTATTGTATATATAATATCAAGTGAAGTAAGACCAGAAAGTGTAGATAAAATAGAAGGTTTGTCAGAAAAATTGTGTATTAGAAGACTATCAAAATTGATAATTCAGTTATGTAACAGGTTAATTTGTAATAATAATATTTAGAGTTTGTTAGCAGTTATAGTTTGTTGTAAAGAATTTTTAATAAGTATGTAAATAGGGTTAGGTAAAAAGTCATTATAATCCTAATGACAATAACAATTAAAATACATTAGAACAAGACAAAGAATTGAATAGTAAAGAGGAATCAAGCAATGAGGAATCGAAAGTGAAAGGTCAGAAAATAAAAAGCCAGAAAGTGAAAAATTAAAGGAAGAAATCCATACAAGCTCGTCTAGAACCCTGCATATTCATTGTGGCCATCCAAGGTTAAGTGCTGGCAGCAAAAAAGAAGATTCTTTTTGTAGGTGTGGTCGTAGACGCAGACATGAATGTAGAAGTGGTCGTGGGTACAGACATGGTTGTGAGCGCAGGCACAGCAAGGGTCGTCATGATACTAGCCATCCTTATATAATTCCAGAACCTTCTGACATTCATTTGACAAATATCCAAATTGAATTTTTATCACCCAATACTATGGCTTATCTACAATCAATGAATACAGGGATTATTAATAGTTTCAAAGCAAAATACAAAAAAAAATGTATTAGATCTGTTTAAAAAGAGCAAAGATTTAAAAGAGTAAGAATATCAATATACCTGTTTGCCACTATATACTGTATCTGTAAAGGTGGTGTCATTTATCATCTAATTTTTTTTTATCAGAGGCTTACCCCCCCTAGTTTTTAATATATAAATTATCAGGTCTTACATATAAAATTTTAATTTTTTTGACCCCCTCCCCCTAGAAAATCACCTGATAATTGTCAGCTCCCTAATACAATTTTTATATAATAAAAATAAAGTTATGTACATTATGTATCACGTATATACATATATATATATACGTATTTTAAAAATTTTCTCATTTATTTGTTATATTTGGCTAGTACTTGTATACAATAGCAAGTGGGTAATGAAAATAAAATATTTCTTTTTTGCAAAATTCATATAGGCTGCCATCAATAGAAATAAAACAAATTGATATTTTAAAAAAATTCAATACCTTACCTTTCACAGCTTATATCTCAATGAATTTTGAAGATATCTTGCTAATTTAATACCCAAAAGAAGGCTTACGATCTAAGCTTACTTTTTATTATTAAATTAGCATAATAGCTTCAAAATTCATCAAGATATGAGCTGTGAAAGGTAAAGTATTAATTTTTTTTAAAATATCAATTTGTCTTATTTCTATCGACAGCAGCCTATATAGACCCATAACACACTAGTTAAAATCAAAAATACTGGTAAAATATCAGAATCTAATATATAACTTATATATAACTTATATATAACCTAAAGCTAGCTTATATTGGCTTATTAAAAATTATAAAATATAGGCTGGTTTTAGGTTATATATAAGCTACATATAAGTTACATATTAGATACCAATATTTTACTGATATTTTTAATTTTAACTAGTAACAGATATAGATACATAATTTGTATAAATAGGCATATATAGGAGCCAGATCTGCTAATTTTTTACTAGTTGTGGCGTGAAAAGAAAATTTTAAAGTAGATTTACACTTTTTATATTTATAATAGGAGATTTAGTCAATTTATACGCTGATCTAAATTGATGTTAAATAGCATAATTTAAGCTACTTGGCTTGTCATTCAACCTATAACTCAACATTATTATATGATTTCTTGAACATACAAGTCTGTGAAATTATATGATAGTGTAGAGTAATAGATAGAATAGCAGGTTGAGAATTAAACTATTTAACTTGTCAAAATTTACTAATAATAGTCATTCTACTATCAAATAGATCTTTTATATACCTATTTGTGTTAGTGTAATAGATAGTTTAGTTTAGTTCACAATGCTGATTATGATTTTTAATAAATTGTATAGGTTGAATCAATAAATATTAGGTGTATACTAGAAGAAAAGTTTTCCGATATGTACCCGTTAGTTTGCCAAATATCTGTTAAATATCAGTAGCATATTGAAAGCATATTGGTAAGATATTAGAAAGTATATTAGCAACATAATAGCATAATATTCGGATACTCTGATATCTTACTCTTAACACTCTGGGCTAAAAGTAAGATATTGGGATATCCTAATATTTTACTATTATGTTGCTGATCTACCTTCTAATATCTTACCAATATGCTTTCAATATGCTGCTGATATTCAGCAGGTATTTGGCAGACTAACAGGTATATATCAAGAAACTTTTTTCCTGATATTTATTGATTTAATCTACTGTATGTTGGTTTTCTTGTTTTTCTGTAAAATTAAAAATTTACTGATACTCTTTTTTTTTTTGTTTAAAAATAAATTAAATATTAGGGAAGTAATATATTATATTGCAGAATTATGAGATGAAATTGAAGAATCGACCATTGTTAATTGCTGGAACAAAACAGGAATTCTTCCTTTATTATTGGATACCAAAATTAATGATTCTACCTTTGCTGTTCAAGACTTAAAAGATTTAGAAAAGGATGATGTTGATAAATTAATCGTAGATTTAACAACAAATTTGTCAAACCTGACATTCAAATGTCAGTTAAATGAATTTAATTATATGAATGATTCTCAAATTCTTACTGAAGATTTTCTTAACGAAGAAGAAATTGTTAATATTATACTGGATGAACAACAGGAATTTGAAGAAGGTGATGCAAGTGACACTAATAAGGAACTACCCAAAAATCCTATCATAGAAGGCTTGAATAGATTAACAAAATTTATTAATTTTGTTGAGCAACAAAAAAGTTGCGATTTTAATATAGAAGATCTTAAAGTTTTTAGAAGATACCTACTATTTTTTTTTTTTATATTAAGTAGTCCTGCCTTTATTTATTTTTTGAACTACTATAAGACTATTATACAAAGTAATACATCAAAATAGTATAACGCTCTATTCTAATAAAGACTCATCAGGCTAATAACCCAATGCGACCTGCTATAACAACTGTTTATCTCTCTTAGGATTCTTAACTTACTAAAAATTTCATATCAATTAAAGATACCCCTTCAATTATCAATTGGCTGTTGTATGCCGTGTCAGTAATGTTTAATATTTGGATGAACTTTGGCCAGCAAAAACCATGCTGGTTTATTCCCTCATGCGATCCACTCTTCGACTATTTTTTCCTCTTTTTTTACTATCTCATATTTACTCTTCTTTGACTTATTTTTATCTCCTTTGCTTCTTTTCATGGTATGTTCTGAGCTTTGTGGGTTGCTGTTTTCTTTGTCTGCCCTGTTTGTTGCACCTTCTTTCTTTCTTTTCTTTTTGTTCTTCTTCTCCATCTTTGTAATACCGTGTCCTTCTTCTTATTCTGCTACTAGGTTGCAGCAGAAATACCAGATATGCTTGTAAAAGTGGTCTCTGACATGGTTGAGTATCACTTGGCTAAATTTGCTAACCAGCGTTGAATCCCAAAAGACTAAGCGAATTCTGTCCATTCTTTCTTTGTGATTAGGCCTTTTATCAGTTCTCTTCTTGCTACTAGTCTCTCTTGTAAGTTACTTCCAAAAATCATATTTTCTATTTTTTTGATATCTGAAAACTTTAGATCTGCTTTTTTTTCTTGGTCTTTTCTTTAAATAGGATAGTTCCCTCCACTTCAATAATGCTCCATAGTTGTTGTAATTCAGAGCATTCTGCCAAGTGGTCTTGTGTTTCAGTTTCTGCACTCAGTATATCTTGTATTTGTTATCTGAGTACATGTCCACTCTTCTTTGGTTAGAGTTTGCATTGTTGGAAAGAGATTGTTTAGGCACTTGATTTTGAAAACTCATTTCTTGTTTACTTCGGAGCTTCTGCAGTTGCTGTCTTTAAACTAATCTATATTGCTTCAAACCTCTTTCCAATCAATTACATTTGTATCTTGCTCCATTTCTACCCACTTGTTAATACTCTTTAGGTTTTTCTACTCAGTGTCAATACTGACTACCATCAGTTGTGTAATGAAGCTTCTTGTTGCATCATCTACTCTTAAGCTTTTCCACTTGAGCTCAGATATTGCTCGTTTGTTCCATAGCCACTTCGAGGAGATAGGTGTAGAGTATATAGCATCTTTTTTTGTAAGAATATCTGCTTCGTTATTTTCTTTTATTCCACTGTGTGCTTTAACCTTCCCAAGTCTAATTTGCAGTTCTTTTAACTTGACTGTGTGCTGTATTTGCTCCAAAAGGCACTGGTTTTTCCTTTTAACCATGTTGTATATCCTTTTTGGGCTTAGACTTGCTTGAATTGCCTGTATTGCGGCTACACTATCAGTTAGTATCTCGACCGCTGCCTTGTATGGAGCTGCTAGAAGGGCTGTCTATATTGCACCTAGCTTGGCTCTTGTGGATGATAGCCAGTCCTTGATCGCATCCTGAAATCTGGCTATTATATTCATCAGCAAAAAAAATAGACCGATATATATCGATTACTAGCCGGGTAATTATATATCGATACCAATCACCCCTGCT